TTTGCTTCGTGTCAATCATCCAATCTACCACACTCGTCATGATCTTTGTCTTTGCCTCGTCATTCATAATGTTATGCACTTTCAAATATGAATTGGATTTTGAACGGTCGTTTGGAAGTATCAACTTACAATGCATGTGATTCGCGAGTGATGCCACACTTGTCATGATCTTTATCTTCGCCTAGTCATTCAGAATGTTATGCACTTTCAAATATGAATTGGATTTTGAACGGTCGTTTGGAAGTATCAACTTACAATGCATGTGATTCGCGAGTGATGCAATGATTGTTCCTTAAATGTAGATTCAGATTTGAGGTCGCAAAAGTGGTTGAATAACTTCTCGAACAAGACTTGCTCGCAATGTAAACAAGTTTATTGGATCCTGGTACATGTAGAAAGTACAAACGAATCCAAGATGTGCGCTTTTGTTTTTCTGTACGGCGATCATTGGAAGATACTGCCAGTGAAGATAAGGATTGAATAGCAAGTTCATCATTCTCGGAGTCTTCTTCATGGTCCAAAATGTCACCAAATCTTCATGTAATGTGTGATTTGGTTGTGTTTGTCATATTCAATCTCTCTACATAGTCGTTTTTTTGCCATCAAAATTTTCGTGTGCAAGGAACATATGTGTTAATGTTTCCAGAAATATTAAAGCACTAAAACATAAAGAGATTACCTCATTTGCACAAAGAGAATCGAAACTAGAAGACACATGTATGTATTTCTGAAATATATGGCGAGTCTTTTAGCCAACGACTAGCAGGCTAAACTTGAGGCACTAGCCGTCTAGCCGTTTGTCTTGGTTAATCATAATTTAGCCTGCTACGTGCCCATCTCTAGTTCCATGTTATTGGTATGACAAACTTCAACACTTCATTTACGGTTGCAGTCGCATTTCTACGAGAGTAAACTAGGCCATACTACCGCTAGACCTTGGAACAAGTAGCAAGTCTTTATGATCAGATCAAGCCGATCACAATTACGACTGACTGCAAGTTAGTTCTCATGAATGCGCTTCCGAGCACATTTCTTGAAGCATTTCATTTGCCACATTGAGAAAAACATTCTCGCCAACTATAAGAAGTATTTTGGGACTGATGAAGACTAAGATACCTTTCAGAAGTCATGAAATGCTGTGATTTGATCATTTACGGTAGATATCTTTGATTTGCAATGGGCAGCACTATGTTAGATGTACATTCAGATCCCGGCCATGCTTCAGTAACTACAAACACGATATATTGTGCACAAGGAACGTTTTGTCGCATCATGGACAAATCAGCACACGCATTTTGGGGACGTAAACTCATCGAGGGAAAAAGTACAGCTTTTGACAGTCAAACAATACCTAAGAGTCTTGACAAAAGACCTCTAATATGTTTAAATTTGGCTTCACATGTCTTTGAATCAAAGAAATTGAAGCACAAGAGAGTTCTTATCGTATCCGAGTCAGTCATCATCACAATCGGTTGTTATACAAGGATGTTATTTTTCAAATTTTGATCTACGTCCTTAACAAAGTTTCAAAGCAAGTTGAGTTGGCAAAACAAGCGAACTTGGATACATGCTCTAAAGCTTACTCTACTACAATGGGATTGTTCTATGCTCATAGGATTTGAAACAAACTGAGAGATGGTGGCTAATTTTCATCCGGTGTGGCACCTGGTCAATTGTGACCTGCTGGAACGTGTTGCACTTCCTGCTGCAACGCCAACAAATGGAGACGAGCTTGCACCAATCATTGAGGATGTTACCAACATTTATCAAGCCTTAGCACTTCAACAACGTGAAAATGTTTGAAGTTGACTCTTGGACATGGCAACTGAGACACTATCACTGGAAATCCGCCAATGCTTTGCACACGTGGACGCCCTCCAGAAATCAAGTATCAGTTCAAACCTTCTCCCAAAATGAATTTTCAATCCAGCAGGATGTTTTGAAATTTGAAATCATTCTAGAAGTATCATCTGCTCAATCTCAGGCTTCAAGCAGCGCTTCACAAGTGCGGAAGTGTTGACTTTGCGGTCAGACGGGACACAATGCATGAACATGTGCTCTACGTATTGTTTTCTTGCATGAATCTTTGCAATAGTTGCAATCAGTAGTTTTTAGTCATTGTTCTTGAATTGTGTACTTATGAGTATCATGTTTGATTCTGTTTTTGGCATATATGTAACAAAAACACGTTAGAAGATGATACTTGACTTGAGTGCAAAAAAATTTTAGTTTTAACGAATGACGAGTATGTGTTGTTTTAACATTACAATGATATTTTTTAGTTTATAATGGCTTATTTTGTAGCTAGTCTGATAGAGTTGTCATTGACGCATTCAAAAATGAGTTTACAAAGCGTTTCGATGCTAAAATATGAATAATTTCTTATATGTGTTCATGATTATTTTTTAAGATATAGAATTCAACAAGAGTCGTTGAATTATGGTGCACAAGCTATCACGTTGAGTTAGAATGCATTACTTTATACTAATTGTTAAAATTCTTGGCGGTATATCAATTTCATATGTAAACAATACTTTGTATTTTGATGAAACTGAAAATGGTATTGGATAGTTGTATAATGCAAGGAACAAAACAAAACACTGTAGATTGAAAGCTTTCAAATCATACGTCAGTACGAATCCGGACAATAAAATATCTGAAAGAAATAATTTCAAGTTGCTAGCTAGTCTGAATGACTTTGGATTTTCATCTTGTCTGAACACTATCGGGTCCATTTTAAACAACTCAACAATGCTGAAATGCTTACCAAAAGGTTATTGCTCTGATCTGATTGTTTCTTGAAAGATAGCCACTTTATCCAATAAGTTATGCCAAAAATTATTTAGTTACATTACTGTTTTCGAGAGCACAGATTCTCATCATCTTTGATTGTTATGAGGAACCGAACATAGTTATGGTAAGTTTAAATGATAGTGAAAGCCGCGTCTTCGATATAATAACCATACACTTTCACTGTATTAAACGTTTGATACTGACAAATGTGAAGAATCCAATGAGCCATAAGCTGGTACAGCGAAGTTCTAAAGGAGTGCTGCGTCAAGGAGAGAAGGTAAAACACTAAATTTCATTTGTGCATCGAATCTCCTGATCTGTCTTACCTGACTTCATGTGTGACAGCCTTACGCATGCAAAAATAAAAACATACAATGTTAAAGCCCGACTGCTCTCTCACAACTTTCATGCGGGTTGCTCCAAATCTGGATATAATAAACAAGTATCCGGATATTTAATGCGTGCTATAGAATGTGAGGTTCGTACGATGTCATGCATAATGTGCAAGAAATTAATTTTTGAATGTGAATTGTAACATGTGTCGAGTGTGGGAAATGAAAAGAAACTAATTAAAATTTGAAGGTCATGACGAGCATTTGTTATGAGAATCTTGAGCAATTCCGACAGATGAACACCCACAGACAAACGTTTGTAACTACAATTATACACAAGGAGAGAGTATCTTGCAATCATGACAAGAAGCATTGCAAGGACTAAGTGATGTGACACGGAGAGCACATAAATCGTAATCAGTCGAACATCAGTTTCCAAGGCGTTGTGCAATGCCACTGACAGCACTTTTGTCATAATTGCTAGTGAGATCACCAGGGGATAAAATATGCACAGATACTGGAAAAGGTGAAAATGGCTGGGGGCTCTCGAATTCCGCTTTTCAGAATTAGAAAGGGCGCTGCTGGTCTAGCAGAGCTCCACACTGAATACTGTTGGAGCAATTATTGTGATATTTCGTAGATGTTTGAATAGTAGTACCGCATTGGCCTTCAGGGCGGGCGGGCTCGTAGACTACTCATACAGGTCGACGATCAAACGTCAGAAGATACAATTCCCGTCTCTTATAGGCGACTGGAGCTCTGCTCTGCTCTACTCTGCTCGTCGCAGACTTTTCGCATTGAGTTTCCGGCGTCCTCCTGCTTTCAGGCCCTTTTCCGTCCTGCTTGTCGGCGGTTCGGTCTTCGACCTCCATGGCCGCATGTGGCGTTGAATTTCGAGCGCCTGTCGGCCTCTCTTTTCTGCCTCCTCCGGCCTCCCTCCCTCGCACCACTGTATGATTGTTGTCTCTCTCTGCCTCCTTGTCCCATGTAGCTTCCCTCGTCGTCGTCGTCGTCGCCGCTCGCCCTTTCTTACTTCCTGCGCCTTCCTTCCGCTGCAGCACCAGCACCAGCACGATTCTCAGAAGTCACGATTGGTTTACTTCGTTGAGCGACCGACCGAACGAACGAACTTCGGGTCGCGCTTACGTTGTCTCCTTTCCCGATCTGCAGCTTCTCTCTCGCCCATGGACACTTCTGGTCAGGACATGGAATCGGCTTTTTTGGGACTTTCCATGCCACTCGGCCATCCTTTCCTTGGACAGCTCTTCTCTTCTCTTCTTACATGGGGCCGTGCTACGCTGCAGGTCCTCCGTGGGTCAACGCACACAATTGCTGGTCACCTCCTCGAACTTGCAGGTACACTCGGCCTGCACGTTCTAACTGTGTATCGAATTCGTCGTCATGTCCAGTTTTACGATCTCCCTCTTCGTATATCGTGAATTAAATTTCTTCACCTCGGAGCTGAGACCAGATCGAAGTAGTAGTGCCATCAGTGCATCTCATCAGGAGTAAGTCCTTGCGTGGATCTGAAACCTGGAGACGTGCGGATGCAACCTTGCTCGGAAAGGAATTCATGGTTGGCCAATGGCGAAGTGTAGCTGCCCGGCTAAGTGTAAGTAAGTGTGTAGAGTAGATGAATCCATGGCTTCTGGTTCGGAAACATTGCCTCTTGGAACAAGGCACTGTTTAAAGGCGCTTGAGATTCATGACAGAAAAGCCGATCACTGCAATATCATACATGCTGCAGGTAAGATGCAGCCGGTCCTCGCCGAATTTAGAAGTATCGAGGTCCATGAATCTCGCTCGACCTTTCTGGCCCTCGACAGGATTGCCGCATCCAGTGCCTGCCCTTTTGTGGAAGCCAATGCCACCCGCTCTAGTTTCTAAGGACATCTTGCTTTCCAGACACAACCCGATGCGCGCGTTGGCACTGAAAATATCTCCATTCAGAAGCGCATCTGTTTCACGCCACGTCTCGGAAGGACGGGCAGACGATCATACCCTCCAGTACAACGCCACACATAAAGTGGCCTGTTCGAGCACTCACTCACAGCATCAACTGACGGACGTATGGACCGCAAGTGGATCCGGATGTATCTGCCAATTCTATACTCGGAATGGAGCGAGCGAAATGAGCTTTTGCATTTGAATAGCAATTCTCGTTCCAGAATCTAGCCGCGGAGTGGAGTGTGCTTACTTAGAACGAAGGCTCCAACTTCTGAGACACCAACCATCTCATGAAGGCTTGACGAGCATGTCGAGTGAAGCTGAGAGACCCTTGGAGCATTGATGTTTGGACATGCAATATTCTCGGAACATAAACTGCTCTGACCTCTGCACATGCACGGGGTCCAGGACCCTCGAGTACGTACATACGAGCGAAAGACGAATCGCTACTTTTCTTCTTTTGGAGATGCGATCCCTGTCTGCTCGAGTTGCAAAAGTGGAGGAGCGAATTATCATGCCTGGTCTATCGATTGGGACCTGCGAAGACCACCAAAAAGACTCGAGGCTTCTGAACGGGAAGGACTCGAGGTCTACGCAGGGCCTAGGAGGAGGAAGAGAACTTCATACCCAAAGGGCGTCATGAAGCACCGGCTTCGCTCATCTGCTGCTGGCCCAAGGTTGTATCTGACGCATCCATCATACTTACGATGAGAGGAGCGGTTGTACAAGCTCCGAAACAAGCAAGGCATCATCAACAAGCCAGGCTCTCTGAGCATCATAGCTCTCAAGCCTTGCCTGGAGACTGTAGAGGAATGTTTCGGGTCCAAGGTCAGGGAAAGAAAGACGAAAAGACTAAGTCAGCTGTTGTTGCTGCAAGTGGCTCGGTGGCCCCAGGATCATGGCCTCGAGAGTCCTGATCCAGCGCCAGGCATGCAAAACCAGGATTCATGGTGGCTAAATTTGCAATTCTCGGACCGGACTTGGGTCGGGGGGGGGGCTTGGACTTCCCATCTAACGGACGGGCTCCTTCCGCCATCGTACAGTCCTCACGTCTCGAGGGCCTGGGTCCGGGACATAATGCAGACAATGCACAATGAAAGCTTGCAAAATTGCCCCCGGGGCTGAAGGAGGGAGATGCAGACCGAGTGACTGGCCGCAGGATGAGAAAGAGCACAACAATGTTCGATGATCGCTAGCTCTCTCTCTCTCTCTCGCAGCCTGAGGGGCGGTCGAGAGTTCTCTTGGTCACATTGCATCGTTACGACTTTAGCACATGATTACGAGGATGGGACTTTTCGAGAAGATCGTCATCTATCGATGTCACGGAGTACCAGACTTTTTGTTGGCTCGTAACGACTGCTGTAGATTCGCGGACTGGCCTCGAGGTCTATGTAGGACGTACGACGGTGAATAAACTGGAGAAAAGATGCAGCAACAAGTTTGAGTGAGCAAATGAATGGTTCTTTTAAATTCTATGGCTTCTCTATTCGAGCAAAAGTAGACGACCTACGTCCTTTGGCGCTCTAATAACTTGAGCCTCTGGATTTTCGCACATGTAGGTGCTGCACGGACGCACGACGACCAATTCAGACCACGGATCAAGGTTTTGGAACATGTGCGGCTTAATGGGGAATCTGACAAGCGAGCTCCTGGTGTTGCCTGCCGACAACGCAGTATTGTCTTGCGCATCATCATCCCAATACTTCTACTTCCTGATTGAGCCTTGTACATCGATTAGAGCATCTAGGTCACCTTGCGTCAAGCGAGAGCTCCATCTCCATCTCCAGCTTCAAGTCGGAACAGCAAACTCTAGCGCCTGCTGAATTACTGAATGAATGAATGGAGGGATCGAGGGATCGAGGGATCGATGGCCAATGTTATTCACGTGGCGTCCTTGCAAGAGTCTTGTGTGGGCCATCTTTTGGCGCATGCAATGGAATTGTTATTGTTTTTGGGGTAATTATGTCCTCGCCGTTGGCTTGGCGGAGAAAGAAAGAGGTGCACTGCAGAACAACAACGCTCTAGCTATGGCAGCCCGTCCTCGTCGTCGTCGGTCTGGTCGTCCGGTCTGGGCTGCTCGGCATCGCAATCAACGTGACTCGCTCGCTGCCTCGGTCGCATGTCGGATCGGATCCCTCGTTCCGAACGCGAATCGCGCACGAAATGGCCCCGAATTTCAAGCGGAATGCCCTCTCGCTTTGTTTGTTTGTTCGCTGCTGCCCGGCCTCACTGAAATTCGTCGGATCGAAAGAGGGCGCATTTCGAGAAAGCCGTGCTTTCGCAAATTCGCAGCAGGTCCGTTTTCATGCCAGGCATGGATCGAGGAAGAAAGTCGTTCGTTCGTGCGGACCCTCGAAAAGAAAGAAAAATCGTTCCTCGAATCCAATCACTGCGGTCGAATAATAATGCACGTCCGTCCGAGAGCCTCGAGGCAGCAGCCTTCGTCGTCGACGACAGTACACAGCTCGCGGCCATATCTGCAGATGCCCTCAACGACGACTTGCGAAACCTCGCTGCTCGACGACTGCAAGTCCGCCATGAACCTTGAAGGGGAGCCTGCCGGGGACGCAGTCGCCGCGACACTCGATCGATCGACGACGACGGGGCAGGCCTGGAGCGAGGGAGGGCAAGAATCCGGGCGCTGACAAGGTGGTACTGGGGGGAGATGATCAAAGGGTAGTTCCATTGTACCGGAGTCAGGAAAGGACTATTACAGCGCTTCTGGAGCAATGGCCAGAAAGGTGGAAGGGAGAGGGGGGAGAGGGGGGTGGGGGGCCTAAGATATTATGCATGCCATGCACACATCGAGAGCTCGGGGCTCCGGGCTTGCGAAATTACGAGGGGGCGGGAGGGGGAGGAGGGGCGGGCACTCACTTAGTGCCGCAGAGCGTCGAATCTTAGCGTAACGTCACACCTACGCCGCCCGTACCGCTCGCTGCGATCTAGCAAAGGGGGAGGGAGGGAGGGAGGGGGGCCAGGAGCAGATCCTCGCAGCGCGCGATGGCTCGACGATGATGGTGCCCGCGACGGGCTGCGCGCGAAATTCGGCCCAGGGCGCGCTAGATACGGAATGAAAGAGCCGGACTCGGCCCGCAATTCGTCCCCGGGTGGGGGGGTAGGTGACAACGTAGGGAGGATCCGCGAGCACGGACGAGGAGGAGCAGGAGCGGGAGGAGGTCGTCGGCTTCTTCTTCGCGGGCCTCCTCCTCCCTCCCTCCCTCCCTCCCTTAACGGCCTCCGAGGCCCCCAGGGTGGGAGGAGCAGCAGCAGCAGCAGCAAACGGCCCTCCGGGTCCGGCCGGGTCACGCCCCCCCCCCCCCCCCCCCCCCCCGCCCCCCCAATTACTTTATCGCGCAACAAATCCGACGCTCTCCCCCCTCGTCGCGAGCGAGCGAGGGAGCAGGCAGTGAGCAGGCAGGCAGGCAGGCAGCGCAGAAATGATTGCCATGGCCGCGAATCCCATGCCACGATTCCGGACGCACGTAGCTTCATGGAGCGGCGTGCGTCGTCGAGGTATATAATATGTGCCGGCGCTGTAACACGGAGCAGCGGCGAAACTTTCTTTGCCTGCACGTAAAGGCCCGGGCATGGAAGCACCCGCAGCTCGTCGTTGCGCTGGATCGCTGGGCCGTCGTCGAGATCCTGCGCCTGAGCCCGAGGCCCGGGCACGGAGGAAGGGAAGGGAAGGGAAGGGAAAGGCCCGAGGTCCGCCGATCGATCGATCGATCGGATGGCGACTTGGCTGTGACCGGGAGCGACCGGCGCGGCGATGGAGAAGCGTCAACGACGGATTCTCTTCAATTGCAGCATCATCCATCATGCGGATGCGTGGGGGCGACGGCGACGCCGACGCCCGCCATCTTTTCTGGTGCGCTCGGGAAAAATGCTCGACCATCGGCGCACGCTGCGCCCAGAGCTCGGGGCCGAGCGGTACTTAAGTAGGTGGAAGCCGAGGAGCCAGTAGGTGGGAAGACGAGATCCGTGGCTCCCTCGCTCGCTCGCTCTCTCGCTCGATCGCGTCCTCGCTTGGCGCGAGATCGCCATTGCGATGGCACGAGGTTGTGTGGCACCGAGTTACCGACAATGGCTTATCTACCCGCGGCCGAGGCCGAGCCCGAGCGTGGCCAAGTTTAGACGAGTCTACCTCTCCAGAGCGCAGAGCGCAGTAGCGGAGTAGCGGAGAATCAAAAACATTTGCGTCGGCCCAGAGAGAGGAAATGTGGACTAGCTTGTTCGGCCAAGGGCCAAAAGTAGGTGCTTGCATGGACGCGAAGAAGGAGATGCTCGGGACGACTTCAGGTGGAAAAACGTGGTAGGTGGTACCGCACCCTCTCGCGCCTCATCACGCGCGGGCCGGGTGACAATAAGCTGCATGAAGGAAAGCGATCTGTCGATCCATAGTTTTTCTAGGATTGGCTCATGTCATGGCGATGGCCGTTTGTTTTAACTGTATGCCAGGGCCTGACGATCTGGAGTGCGCTTATTCGACTGCGACGCGCGCGCCCGGTTTTATACAGTTTTCTGATCGCTCTCGACCTTTCTTTGTGGCCATGGTGGAACTTTGGTGGGGCCTGCCGTGACGGCCTCCCCGCTTCAGGCAAGCCTCAGGCTGGAAAGCTTGCCATGGCTTCTTGCCTGCCTACCTCTCATGCCTTCGTCTCGGCAAACTTCCAGTGGACCCGAAGGTGCCTGGAATGTCCCGCCCTCCTCCCCGCCCTCCATCGCCACATGACCTTCCCCAGCCTGACAAAAGACATATATGCCCGATTGTTTCTACAGACCGCACCGAGCTCCATTCCATGCCACCACTCCGAACTCCGGCAGGCAGGCAGGCAGGCCGGCCATGATCTCAAGCTCTCAAGCAATTGCGCTCTCGGTCTCTCGAATCGGATCCTGGCTGCGCACGATTTCTCTACTCTTCCATCGAATGGTCTGTCTTACAGTCCCCCCTTCCTCTGCTTCTCCACCTATCAACACACTATTTCTTGGGACGCCCGACTGCCTGCCACATCTGAAATTGCTCTCCTTCTATCACCCTACCATCGTGTTCCTGTCTAGGTTCGCAGTTTTGAAGGATGTACAGGTCAGAAGATAGAGAGATCTGCCATTCGATCATTCGATCATTCAAACCTGCAAGTCGTTTCATTCTTTTGGGATTGCTTCGAGTCGAGCGTTCCTGGGTGGGGAGTGATAGGTGGAGAATCAGAAAAACGGGCGTCAGACAAACCATTAGATTGGACAGTAGAATTTTTCCAGGAGCGGCGGACATGATCGTGATCGTGATCGATGACATCGGACAACCTCGACGGGATCGCGATTGAGGGTATGCAGAAGATGGGTGTCGTCATGCAGGGTTTTTTTTTGGCGGTAAGGATTCCGCAAGACAAGAGTTGCAACTTGCCTGATGTCTGCAGACGATCGAGCTTCGATCCAGGTGCTTTCTTAACCTTTCTTTGCTTGCACCGCTCATCCAGGGCGCAAGATCTATGGTCAAGATTAAAGATGGTATTACTCTAATTTCTGGTGTATGGCTCTAGACCCAAGTATTTCTTGTCTCTCGTCGTTTGCAAATCAGAAACTGATGACGAGTGCAACACGTTTCCGTCGCCGCTTTGGCCAAGACAGGTGATGGTAAAATTCGTATCCGAGGCCTTCAACTGATTTTCGAGCCAAGGCGTGTGTGTAGTCATACACTTCTACACTGATGGTGTAGAAGTGTATGACCAAACCGGAATTTTTCAAGCTGTATCACGGATGCGTACTTGCTACTCCTCGCAGATTGTTTTGCAGGTGCAGTCGATCTCCCATAGAAGTTGTTCATATTATACTGAGAAAATTTGTTTCTCGAGATCCAGTCACTGGCTTGGAAAGGCGTTAATTGTGTTGCCCAGCACCTGTTCATGTATTCACTGGATGTTTGAGATCAAATTCCTCTCCGTCAGGTGGAGGCAAGTCTGTGCGGCAAGAACACCGAAAGCCTTAGCTCAAAGGGGCTCGAGCCCAAATGTGAGTGGCGGGTCGCTGCACTTGACCTGATTGAATTGAAGGTGTAACTACTTCGTCTGCGTTCAACTCAAGTCCAGATTTTGGGCACGATGTACCTTTCTTCTGGCGCATGACGGGTCCATTTCAATGATCTTCATCTTGATCCATGACCTCATCTCTCACGCTACTGCGTGGCCGACTGTACAGCACATTTAGGACACTGCAACCGCGGATACGAGGTCATACACAAGGTGCCAGGTGAATGATGAAGACTTTGGAAGCGCCAGACGGGCCCGGGTTGCGGTCGTTTCCTTGAATTGGGCTCGAGGGTGCGTGACAACATGGATGTAAAGTCTTTCAACGCTTGCTCCTTCTGAAAGATCGGCACGCTGATGAGAACTCTCAACAGATTGGTGCAATTATAGTTGGGAATTGACTCATGTGGTCGGGAAAGCCGCGGTATCCCTATTGTGTGGACGTTCCTCATCATGATATCGATGTATCAGCAGCAATTGTAGATTTGATGCCCCCTCTTTGCTGCAAGCACACGATGCCAATGCAATTTCTGTGGGTGCGTGTGTTTGTTTGAATTTGTGCAGTGTGAATCGGGAGGTTGCCTGGATGTAGACCTAGGTATCTTACGGAGTAACAGGAGCATAGATCTTGGCACATTTCTAGGTACTAAGAAAGCGTGGACAATTGGCAAGGACTGCAGACCTTTGGTTAATATATTTCACTCCCGAGTTGAGCGTGATAGACACTGTAGTTCGAGCATAGCGTAGACCTGCGTCTTTTCAAAAGGCTGTCAATTATGTCAATTATATAAAGTGCAGGCTACCTGTCGGGAGCATTTTTCCTACTGTGTTCAAGTGACATTCCATGACGAGTTAAAGCTGTTAGAACGGGGAGGATCTCCATGCGGAGGACAGGAGATTGTGAGGTCTGGATCAAATGACATGCATCAGCGAACGATGGGTCTTGCAAGACCAGCTCTCTCGTTTATGCTTGAGAGTGGTTTTTCCTCCATAAAATATATTCTTGAATCGAACTCGCTTGCCGATAAAGGCTTATTATCGGAAAAAAGCGTATATGTCCTGTGAAAGATATCTCGCACCTTGCGCTTGGGAAACAACACGTAGTGAAAAGAGCCACGGTGGATGCCAATGCTCATCAGCAAGTGTGGGTGAAGTTGAAGTGTAGTCGTACTGCCAAGAGTGGGATGTGGGATTGGATCCCCTAAGAGGGATCCCGATCTATGCCGACCGCTCTACCGTAAAGGATCGGTTTGGATAGCTTGTGGTCTTTAGATCGATCGATCGATCTCCTGCTTTCGATCGGGCAGCTTTAGCAAGTACAGTACTTGGAGGTACCAGATCTCCTTATAGTCACGTACTCCAAAGGTACAGTACATTTGTGTGGCAGGTGTTCTCACTCAGTAGCGAGGGAAACTGAGTTTTAAGGCTGGCATTTTTCATTCTGGCGTTACAAGCGATTTCGCGTTTCGGGAATGTGGACACGATGTGCAACAAAAGTCTTTCTGTTTCGTAGGATGGGATAAATCAAGCGGTGCGTGCTGCGATTCATCATCAGTGAAGCTGCACGAGGTGGACTGTGGATCACCAAACTGCCAGCATGCACAGTTGCCGAGGCTGCAACCGAAGGCGGAAATTAGTGATGTTGCGTAGAAAGGTGGCCGATGGAACTGTTCAATGGCGTCATTGTTCTAACTGGGACACGTCGAAGACGAATGTCTTCTTCGTAGAATAAAGCTTAACGCTCCAGTCCCACAGGTGGATTATGATGGGGAAGGATGTGAAGGAGCTCCAACAGAAATCGACCAGTAGATGGTGTTCTACTGCAGCTTAAAGATCAGAAAGTGGGGAAATAAAATATTGAAATAACGCTCAACCAAGATGAACTAGAAGCCGGAATCGCAAAGTACAGAAACAGGAGAATCTGATCTGATTCGGCAGCAAGTGTGAGTGTAAGATTGTCATGAGGCGGAAGGTTGGCTATGCACGCATATCGATCTCGTAAATACATTGGACTGCATTCAGAGTAATCACCTAGAAACTTGGAGCGGTTTATCTTACTATGTGAAAGCAAATTTTCTTGCGGTTCACGTAGCTGTAGGTGTTCCAGTAATGTGGATCGATATCTGTGGCCGGTGCTCCGATAAGCACACATCCAGGATTATGCTTGGTAAACAACTAAGGTGAACAGATGGAAACCGTAACACAATGTGGCAATCATTGGAAGCGAACAACGAGATATCTGGACCTGTTCACCAGGTCCAGGCTTTAAGTTGTCATTGCGGACATGCTTTTCACATAATGTGCTCCCCACTTATAGTGAAAGCATTGACTTGTCGGTGGCAGGAGCTGCGAGGTGCGCGATTTTCATCTCAGGTGCGATATTGCCTGCTTGTCGTCAATGCAGTTCCTGAGAAAAGTGTATTAGTAAGTACCTTCCCGCACAGTAGCTCCGACTTTTTGTTGCTGCACACGTAGATGTCTATCACCCGAATCATGCAGAGAAATAATTGTATGGACAGCACTTTTTGGAACAAAGCTGTCACGCCCCCTACCAAATGGTAGGATCAGGAGTACTCGACCTCCTCTCGAGGCTCCCGACCCTTGCTTTGGTTTTCCTGCGCAGAGACTTGGAGCAAGTTCTCTGCAGCCATGGCGCGAAGTCAATGCTATTCTTCTTATTGTACTTTTAATATTGTTGCAGGTAGGGATGATTGACGGAATCAATTTCTGCCTGTTTATGTATCGTGTACTGAAACTTGGCGTTTTCTATTCATAAAGTAAGAAATTATGATTGTTCCAAAGATTATATTATTATTTTGGTGATAGTTTTGGTTTGGAAGTTAGGGGAAAAACATTTGACAAGCTGTGGCGATCACCGTTTTTTTATCTTAGACAACAAGGAGTTTTGTAGATTTTTTTTTGCCAGAACCTTTGATGTGGTTAAGTCCTATTTCCGTCAACTGTCTGCCAAGACAAGAGGATTTATCACTCTATTACACACTTTTCGGAAAAAAATTTGTGGTTTATGTTGTTTATTAGAGAGTTAGATCTTCGCAGGAGTTAAATATTTAGTTTTCTACGTAAACAGTAATTTATTTTAGTACTATCTCTGTGGTTGACAAGTCACCAGTCATCGTAAGTGTTTTATACTTGTGAGTTGAGTCTGAAAATGGTATAATTTGTTCTTTAATCAGGGAAGTCATCGTAAGTGTTTTATACTTGTGAGTTGAGTCTGAAAATGGTATAATTTGTTCTTTAATCAGGGAAGTAATACGTGCTGATCAGTATCTCTAGTATTGATCACAGCTGTCATCTGGTTAATCAGTAAAACGTAGAGGTGGTGATAAGGATATGATGTTATTCCATATTGGTTCCAAGTGGGAGTGCTACATTGATAGTTTTGAACTCAGATTCATTCGTTATCTGATTGTGGAATTAAGTGTGTGCAAGCTATTAAACCTTCACCAGAGGTCACCATATCTTTTGTAATCCAGAAATCATCCAGAAATTACTCTTATGGATCACATTGGTAAAACTTGATTTTCAAAACGTTTTAGTCCCAACCCGGGATACACATGACAAAGTTGAGGACACTTAACTATTGAAGATGATCCTTGAATATTTGAAATTTTTGAATAATATCACCTTGTCAATTTGTTAGTTGATACTCTTGACGATGTGAATCTTGGCATTGTGGTAAGCAAAGTATTGTTGTGGCAAGGATAGTTGATTCAGGTCAAACTTGTGAGCAAGATAAGATGATTTGCATATGTAAGATCAAGGTGGGTGGAGATGTCTATTTGGAAATGTCATGATGTAATCATGGTGTGAGCGAGAACATTGGCGACTTCTATTCATGTTTTGCGATGATGAATGAGTTTTTGTTGGTTATTCGTTTATTATCACCGTAGCAAGTATGTTTCGTAGTTTAATTCAGATTGTCTGCTTATTATTTTGTCATTAATGATACTTTTCATGAGGTAAAAGTGTTCGTATCACTATGCATATATTAAATTGTACTACTGTGCTATTACATTTGATATAGTTAATTAGGATGTTCTTTAGCAAGAAAAAGAGTGGAAGAGACAATTAGGACATGAGAGATGTGATACCTCTCACAGAAAAAGACTTTATTTTAGTTTTCAATGCCAGATGTCCAGAGAGAATATATCCTCCCAAATTTACTCACAAAACCAAGGGGCACAAAATAGTTAAATGAAAAGCAAAGAAGAATTATCTTCATTTGATGGAATAGAGGGAGTATAGCAACATAACTGTGTAGAGTGGTAGAAAACATGGTAACTGGACTTGCACAACTCATATGGTTTGTGCTAGACACCAAAAGCAAGAAGACCTTGGGAATAGAGATTTTCCATCCGGTTTATGTCGAAGGAAAAAATTAATGATAAAAAGTATTGTATATACTAGCTTGATCTAGCTAGTAGATGTAGCTTGTTCGTGCCCTTTGCTCCAACGGGTTCGGCCCCGAGGGCTCTTACTTACACTCATTCGATGTAGTTATGAGTTGTGATGAAAGTGCATTTCTTATTGAATAGAAAGAAGTACGGTTTGTTTGAAATTTGATTGCCAACGTTAATATGTTTTATATGTTTTATACTGATTGCTAAAGTCTAACATAAGAAATTTGAAAGAACCTGCTACTCAAATGAAATATTGATGAAGTGGTGGCAGAGAAGGTAAAATTATCTTGTATAGATTAATAAGTCAAAAGCTCTTTATCAGAATGTGAACTTGTTTGCAAGAAATAACTATTTGCTTCATGTAATGGTTTTGCGGATTTGTTGCATATGGATTCAAAATGTTATTTTTTTGTACAAATGTGATGAGCTTTTGCAGGTCATAATTTTTTATGTGTGATGTAAGATATCTCAGAATTATTTATAATGTACCCAATGTCCTAGTTTCAAAAAGTACAAGAATATATAAGTTATCTGTACTACATAGAAGACACTATAATACATATGCAAATATTCAAAGACTTTGATACAACCTTAAAAAATAAAGGAAGTGAGAAAGTCATCAATGCTGGAGGAATTAGATGAAGTTTGTTGCATTTTAAAAGTATCCAAGACATAGTATCAAAAGTGATAGCTATGAACAAGCCTGTTTGTCCTTAGAGTGTTTTGAAATAATGATTCGAATACAAAACAATACTTGTAAATTATGCTACAGAGTTTTCAATCTGATCTGCAGCTCACAACCCAACCAAGTATTCTGGATTTTATCTTCCACTATATAGATGGCATGATATAAGATGTTTTTACATTAAATAACATCCAAAGATATTCTTTGTGTTTGGTTATCCAAACGATGTTTATATCTCAAAAAGTCAAGGCTGGATTGACTCTAAAAGATTTTTTGTCATGAGATACGAACCAATTACGAATAAGAATCAACTTCATATCTGAATCATATGAAACATCTTACATGATGAAATGTTTGACAAGAAATGTTTGGAATAAACATGGATGAAAAAAAATCACATAAGTAATGAGTGTTGCTACTCATAACATATGTGTGGATGATGACAAATGAGGCATTATTGAAAAGACATAATGCTTTCATCAGATAAATGTTCTTGAAGCTGGAGTGAAAAGTATAGATGAAGACTAATTTTAAGCTTTATTTAAACATAAAATTGCTAATTTTTATTTGATAAGCATGTGGACTTTGTAATGAAATGAGATATCCTGGAGTTGGAAAAATAACAATGTAAGTATACTTGGGAGAAGTGTTGATTTTTTTGCATGATAGTTGACAAGTAGATTCTCTAAACAAAGAAATCCTTTCTAC